ACACTGACACACATGCATTTACACAGACACACTCTGACACACAGATGCATAAACTGACACACATACAGACAAAGATACCCACACTGACATACATACACGAACACTGACACACAGATACAGTGACACACATGCAGACACAGACACTGACGCAGATATAGGCACTGACACATATGCAGATACAGACACTGACACATATATAAACACTGACACACATGCAAATACAGACACTGACACAGATATAGGCACTGACATGCATGTAGATACATACCCTGACACATAGATACAGATATATTCCCTTAAACACATGCAGATACACACACATAGATACGTACACTGACACACTTAAGGATACATACCCTGACACACAGAAAGGCACACTGACAAACAGATACACACTCTGACACACAGACACATATACTGACAAACATGCAGATACACAGACACATATATACACACTCTGACACACAGATAATTACCCTGACACAATTAAGGATACATACCCTGACACACAGATACACACCCTGACACACATGCAGATACACAGACACATAGATACATACACTGACATAAATACAGACACATACCCTGACACACATTCAGACACATACCCTGGCACACATTCAGACACATAACCTGGCACACATTCAGACACATACCCTGACACACATACAGATACATACCCTGACACACATACCGATACATACCCTAACACACAGATACACACATAGAGAAACACACTCTGACACTCATGCAGATATACATACACACATGCAGATACACACGCACATGCAAATACACAGACACACACTGACACAGATACACACATTGACAAACATGCAGATACATAGACACATACATATACACATACACTGACACACTTAAGGATTCATACCCTGGCACACAAATACATACCCTGACACTAAGATACATACCCTGACACACATGCAGATACAACAAAACAAAGATGCACACATTGACACACAGATACACACATTGACACACAGATGCACACATTGACACACAGATACATACCCTGACACATATGCAGATACACAGAGGTACACACACTGACACACAGATACATACCCTGACACACATCCAGCACACAGACACATAGATACATATCCTTAAACACAGATACACACCCTGACACACAGCAGATACACAGACTGCAGATTAGTGCATGCACAATGGCCTCTCATTGCTTTCCTACGGGTAAGCATTGCTTGGCTGAGATCATCAAGATTGATTATCTCAGCCATGGAAGCAGATTCAGCCACGGCAAAACCATCACGGCATGGGGAAACAGGTAAGTAAAATCACCTTTCTCGGGGGGGACCGGTCACATAAACAGACACTCACTAAGAGACAGAAAACACACACACAGACATACACTTTGCAGACAGACACACACATTCAGAAGTTGAATTTTTTTAAATTGTTTTGTTTGAAACCCACCCAGCCTCTCCACCTTTTGGAGAGGTGTAGTGGATAGCTTCTCCCTGGGGTCCAGTAGGGCTGCTGTCATCTTCCTGCTCTGCTCCCTGTCGCGCACTGTTTAGTTTAGTATGTCAGGGACCAGAATGACGTCATATTCCGACTCCCAGCATCTTTGCAGGGTGCGCAAGGGAGCAGAGGAGGGAAATGACAGCTCACTCTCCCGCTACCCCGGGCCTATTCCATACTGCGCCCGCTGGTCTGTCTCTGCCCTCCCTCAAGATGCACATGCTCTCTCCCATGGCTTGCCAGCCACCTCTGCTCTCCCACGGCTGGTTGGCCACCTCCACTCTCCCACAGCTGGCCAGCCGGCCACCTCTGCTCCCCCACGACTGGCCACCTGCATTCTCCCTTGCCGCTCCAGGCCAACATATTCTAGTCGCCATGGTGACCTGGCATCTGGGATTTGTCGAGCCCTGAGATACAAATACACACAAACACATACTGTGACACACATTGACACATACAGTGACACAGAGACACGTACACTGACATACAGATACACACATACACTGGCATACAGATATACACACGGACGCACAGACACATGCACTGACGCCCGGACACATACAGATACACACACTGACACAGACACATGCAGATACACTGACACATACTGTGACACACACACTGACACATACTGTGACAAACACACTGACACATAATGTGACACACACACACACTGCAACATACTGTGACTCACACACACTGACACATACAGTGACACATGCAGTGACATATACATTGACACACAGACACATACACTGACATACATATACAGACATGAAGATATATAGACTCACAGGCAGACAGATACACACACAAACACTACACACACACACAGATACACAAATCCTACCTTTTGGCTGACGGGGTCTGGTGGGAGTTGGCGTCCTGCTGCTCTCCCGGTCCACTCTGCCTGCCCTGCCCCCTCCTCTCCCGCGCGGCGTGCTCTGTGTGCAAGCTGGGAGGAAGTAGTTACAAGCTTTTACTTCCTCCCAGCTCTGGCTGCAGGTAACACAGGAGTTGTGCTATTAATCCACTGCAGTGAGCGACCAGACCCCTGAAGGCACGTGTGTATCGGGTGGCCCAAAGTGCAAAGTGCTAAGTGCACACTCAGGCAGCAGTTCCCAGGCTAGAACCACCGCCATTACCCACATATTTTTGTGTAACCCTGGGCACTGAATTGTACCCCTTGGGTTACGCGTACCATGGGTTGGGAACCGCTGCTCTAGATAAAGGGTAGGGTACCTTTTGGACTCCAGATGTTTTAGGCTACATTTCCTATTATGCTCTTATAACCATAGTGCTTTTAGTCTTCTATTGCATTTTGTAGGTGGTGCTGCAATCTTTGGAATAAGGTTTATTGGCAGTGTTAATTACTCCTTTTATGTCAATATGCCTTTATTTTCTTTTTGTTCTTAATCTTTAAAACATTTTGGATAAGAACACCATATAATGACTCAAATGCAAGCCTTACTCCAGTAAATACTTCATTGAAATAAACTGAAACAGTTGCTCATTGAGGAGATTCAAAACTCTTAGCTCACATTCTTGATTTCAAAGTTGCTCTCTCACAAAAATTTTTTTTTAATAAATTAGAACTTCAAAAAGAAATATTCACATTGACTGTGTTGGCAATTCCAGCTCAGTCAAAAGATGTCATGAGTACCTGCTCTAATATTATACACACTACACTCAGATATTATATGTCCACTTGAAGCATCCATCAACTGCATACTTTATGCAACATAAATACATGGGATTAAAAAGTGATACAGGATAACAGAACAAGTGATATTGCTGCCTGTCGCAGGTCCTATGGCTCTACTCTACACTCCAAAACATGCAAAAGATATTTACTAAGCCCCAAGCCCTTGCTAATCATGAGAGGCTGGACAAAAGATAGATCCAACAGGGTACAATAAAACAAAGCTGAATAAATAAAATTGTTATATAAAACACATATTCTAATAATTACACTTTTGAAGAATTGATCGTGAAAAGAAGAGCCATTTGCAATTCTTTAGTAAAGTTGGAGACTGTCGAGAACAGCTGCAGAAATTAGTCCATACTTTTTTCATCTGCCTGTGTACCATTTGGTCACAGTATGGACTCAGTATGCCTTTAATCTAAAAAAGTTGTAGAATTGGTGTCTGACTGTGTTTTGCTATATATTAATAAGGTTCAGGGATGCAGGATATGACACCAATTGAGTGGTTGAATAATAAAAGGTTTTTTTCACATAGATCAATAGTATAATTAAAGAATATTAAATCACCGATCCACTTGCCGGTCAGCCTTTGGCCAGAAGTAAATTAATTGGGAAATTTTCTGCACGGCACGTCTGCTCAGAGGATGAAGCTTCTGACCAAGAAAACGTAAGTCCCAGCTTTTTATAATTGTATAAAAAAAGGCTTACATAACTAATATGCAAGTCATACGCGCATTTCATACATGCAAGAGTGCACCTTACAAGACATCAGCCCACTCCAGAGCCCTGGCCAGATGTCCAGAATGTCCTGAGTCATATGAGAAGACACCTGCACTTTGTTTTTTGAAGGTTCTGGAACTCTGGGCAGTGTGCTAAAAATATTGAAAAATCATAATACTGTTTTTTTTTTTAACTGAATAGCTTTAGAATATATATATATTAGCAATACAGACTGATCAATTAATTTCTTTTGAGGAAAAAATATCTGATTAATTTTATTATGACAGTAGATAATCCATTACTTATGTTAATATCTAAGATTCTTAATTTGTATGCTTTTTGGTCTGGTTCATTCCATGAAGAATTATTCATTTATTATAGACACTGTTGTATTTTAGCTTTTTTACTTTATTGAATGCAACTGTAAAGGATGACTATAGAGTCAGGAACACAAACATGTATTCCTGACCCTATAGTGTTAAAACCACCATCTAGCCCCCCTGGGCCCCTCATGCCTCCATAAATATAGCAAAATCTTACTGTATTCAAACCTGAAGCTGTAACTCTGCATGCTGTTTGTCTCAGGAAAAAAACACGCTGTCTGCTGACATCATCAGAAGTGGTAGCCTGATCCAATCACAGTGCTTCCCCATAGGATTGGCTGAGACTGAAATGAATCAATGAATCTCTATGAGGAAAGTTCAGTGTCTGCATGCAAAGGGAGGAGACACTGAATGTTTGGATGCATTTTAGGCAGCCATGACCCAGGAAGGATCTCTAACAAACATCTGAGGAGTGGCCAGTGAAGTTATGGGCTGTAATGTAAACACTGCATTTTCTCTGAAAATGTGTTTACAGCAAAAAGCCTGAAGGTAATGATTCTACTCACCAGAAGAAATTCAATAAGCTGTAGTTGTTCTGGTGACTATAGTGTCCCTTTAACTTTGGGAGACAAAATGTAAAATTTTCAAATGTTTCCAATGTTTCAATCCTCCAACATGTTTAAATGTTTCCTTGACAATTTGCAACATCTATAGAAACTATTAGCTGAACCAATATACTCAAGAGGCTTGCATTTCCATGATGTTTACATACTTATCTACACTAGTGCCTTAGTAGATGTAAATATAACAGTCTGTCTCAAGGACAATAGACTGGATTGCCATAAATCTACTTCATGTAAACCCAGAACAAGGGTGGTCTTGATACAATAAGTCAGAGAACTGCCCATAAGCTATCTCCACCGACTCTATAACCTTCACTGAACAGTTTGGCCTCAACAATATATAGAATAAAAAGCTGGAATTTATCATAGACTAACTTTAATACTAACTATTTATAGGTCCTTCATAGGCACCCAGACTACTTCATCTCAATTCAGTGGCCCTGTCTAGTTAGTTCTGCAATTACAAAATATTGCCAAAAAGCAGATATCATTATTTAACCTAAAAATGACCAATACAGGACCATGCTCACTGGCTGAAAGCACAGATAACATGCTCAGCCAGTAAGCGTAACCCTGTATGGCTTGAGTAAGCTCACTAGAGCTAAACATATTCTCCTGCAAGGAGATTCTGTATGGAGGGGTCTATGCTGCAGGTGCTTGGTAGGTCTCAGGTGAGTTTCCTAAAACAATTTGACAAATTACACAGGGAGGGAATTAGGGCACTCCTGGCAACACAGCCACTGATTATGGTGCTTGGAATGTTCATTTAACCAGATTTACAGCAATTACTCAAGATGTCACATCCCTAACCCCCTGTGAATTTATGTACTATATAGTTCTTTGACCGCAAGCTACATATATATCTATGCTTCAGCTCATTACCTACCTTCCTATCCTATGAATAATGCATACAAACTAAATATCTATCTACTGTCTATGTCCAGAGCAAGGGTAGAAATGATATAAAATATATATATATTATGTTAGAACGGAGGCCAGGTTAGCAGGGAAACAGAAGACAACGGTGGTGGGTGCCACTTCTGACCAGCCTAGAATTCTCATTCGCTGTAGGCCAAGTTTCTGGTTGAAAGCATTTTTGTCTCCAACATGCTTTAGAAAATAGTTAATGATTTAATTACACCTTCATCTTCACAGCAACATAAGCTGGTCATGAATAAATAATATTTTTCGGTCCCTTAAGGGGCATGAAATGTATGCAGCACAGAGTAGGGGAATTTATGGGTGTGAGATGGCACTGAAATTTTTCAAAACACACAAAATCCACTCTACATGGTTATGCTAGTTCCTATCAAAATGTATTTCCCAAGGAGTTAAATACTTATAAATTAATAAACCATAATTACCAACATCAGTTCCAGCTCCAAAGATAGAGGTTTTGGCAAAGTGACAAAATCACTGTTGTTGAACTAAAACACACTTCGGTAGTTATGGCTTAATAATTGGCATAATTATCTCTTTGTTTTGCTTTGTTGTTTGTGATAGTTTCTGTAATTGTAAGCTGCAAATACACTTAAGCATGAGTATTAATATTTGAAATTAAATACTTATTAATACTGTGAATAGTTACTTCAAGTTTTATTCTCACTATCTGAGTTATGTGTCTGACCTTGACTAGCTATATACGTTCACTAAATAGCAGTTCCTTTGATGTAACTTTGGTCTCAGAACCATATCGAACAAAGCAAAAAATCTTCTAACCTTTTATTAAGCAAGCAAGGAATTGCATATAATGTATCTGGAAATGTAGTCTAAAATAATCAATAAAGGCACAGCTACTTTCTGTCAGTGTTATTAAGATTCCATACACGAATATGAATATTTAAAACAACTTAGAAGGGATCAATACTATTTCTAATTTTTAAATGAGCTTATGGTCCGTTTTATATGTGTGCATCATTTTCAAGCCTTTCTTGGATTTGAGACGCCCTAGAGAATGCGTGTAACACTTATCACTTATGTAACACTTATCACTTACGCCTATGATAACTTAATCCAAATGGTAGGTCATGGTGGCCTGATGCATACTTATTACAGCCCAGACACATAATTTACAAACACTCTCCAAAATAAAGTCCTTTTAAAAGATGAGATGAGTGCTAATCTTTTTTTTATCCTTCCAATCGCACTGTCTTCCCAGTCTTCAAACTTCTGGTTCTGCAGTGACAGAATGGTACAAAAGCTGTCAATAGTATTGTAGCTTAATCGCAACATCAAGACCAGATTTATTATGACTTGAGTAAAACAAAACAATCTCCTGAGTAAATGAAATTAAAATCGAGGTAGGCATATATGCATAATGCACACAGATTTGAAGAAAACACAAATGGATGCATTTTTTTTTTAATAGTAACTGTTAGCCATTACTTATCTTATGCCATAGTTTATCTACTAAAAGATCTCCATTGTGCATAATTGAGACAAATATTGAGCAAGTAGACTTGGTGGGATGTCCGATAAGTATTTTAGGCTGCTGTTACATTGGACTATTGTTGATAAAACATATACTAGGTATTTTCCAAAAGTGCCAGTACTCCCCTTCTGGAGTCTCCAGATCTTAGCACTAAAGAGTTTCAAGTTAAATTTACTAGGTGGCATCGATAGCAGAGCTGCTGCTAAATTTAGTTACTCTTGGAAGTCCATTTTACCATCACAGATAGGCTTCTGTGCATATTTGAGTTCAGCAAGTTAATCTATTTCCTCAGACAACATTAGTGAGCAATGCCCAAATAATCTAAAAAGACTAATAATTGTATAAAAATAATGTTATACTTAACTGTGGATGTATTGCTGGAAATTTTTTCCTTGACACAAAATAGCCAACCCCCCCAACATACTTGCATATATTTGGAGTGTGTATTATTGGTTATATTTTTGTGTGACGCAAGACTTGACTTTTCATGTTACATAGTTACCTAGCCGAAAAGAGACTTGCGTCCATCAAGTTCAGCCTTCCTCACATATGTTTTTGCTGTTGATCCAAAAGTACTGTGCTTAGTTCCAATCTAATCATTCATGGTTCTCGTAAAGAACATTTAAGGTCAGGGTGGGCTTTGTAAGGTCCTTTTCTGCCTTGAGTGCTCTGTATGTGGGGAGCCTTCCAACCAGTCAAGTTGGAGGGTGAAGAGTGATTTTTTTCCTTTAGATTTTTCACTGCATTTATGTTTTCATTTATTTTTGTGCAGTTCTGGATTTTTATTTTATTTTAATGAGAATGCTAGAATATGGTGAGGATTTGTTTTTGGACATTTTTGGTCAAATGAAGATTGAAAGGAAGATCTTCAAACAAGAAATCCACTGCTAAATAATTTGTACATGTATTTTTAATTGTATTTAGAATATTTGATCTACCTTTATTATTAATTAGTGTGATGGGGTAGGCAGGGTAAAAAATAGATAGCGCAGTAGATTACGCACCTCCTGGGCCCTATTAAAAATACATTTATATTATTCTCCATGGGATAGAGTAGAGTGGTTTTCTATTGGTTCTCTATTGCCTCTATTGCCCGTCATTGATCCCACAGTGATATATGTATATATTTAGTCATTCATTCGTTCATTTATTTTAAATGGAGCAACATAATTGGTAGTCCCATTGTGAAAGAGAGAATTGGGTTTCTCTCAAATAATTTCAACATGTATTTTACTTTGTGCAACAGGGTAATTGGGCTCTCCACTGGGGCACTGAAAAGCAATTTCATTGGTTATGCTAACTTAGTGAGATCTTTCACCTGGTCTCACAAGGTATAGCATTTCCACAAGAAAAAGAGCTGTTTTAAAACCGTGAGTACCAAGAACCTGTGAATACCAAATGGCATTGTGTTTTCGATGGACTTTATTAACTGGCATCCCAACAGTGTAACACCAGTTAGTGAATAGAATTTTTGGCATATCTTTGCAACAATGCCAAATTAAAGCCCACTAAGCTTTAGTAAATTGTGATATTTGACATCCATTCCCATTCACAAATAGGTGCAAGCAGCACTATAGACATTTGCCAATCAATGACTAATTACATTAATGCCGTAACATGATCTGTATTAAATACCCAGCCGGCACTCAAATTTGTATATAGCAACATATTTGCAAGCTATAGACTCTACATAACTTTCAATTATTTAAATTATATTTATATAACAAGAGAAATGGACATTAGGGAAATTTGTCTGCAAATAAGTAAACATTTACAATGTATTTTTATGTTTAATGTCAAAAATAATTGTTCACTTGATGCTAGTACAAATAATAAATACTAATAGGTAAATTAATGCTGAATAAATGTTTTTCATTATGCAATTTTCTAAGTGTAGATGACAAATTGCATACATTTTTCAGTCTGTATTTTTTGTATATATATTCATCATGGTTTGCGAAAATTTAGGAGACCTGCAGGCTTTGTCGAGCTACGTTTTACTCTTTTATACTACAAATTGAGATGTTTACAATGGAGAGAATTAAAAATTCTATTTTCTGAAGTTAAACATGCTTTTCAGTTTGCTCTTTCTAAAGTCAATTTTAACATAAACATTAAAATAATTCTAATGTTACTGTCAACAGCATTCAGTAACTTAAAATTAGTTGTGACATTAGTACTAATTTCTCCAGCAGGGTTCTAATCCTTCCAATTTGTACATTTGGACTTTTTATATCAAAAATGGTTTATTACAAAAAAAAAAAAAATCATTAACTAACTGAGCCTCATGACTAAGGCATTAAAATGTGTGTATTTATTTTTATATCTAGGGAGCATCAGAATATCTTCTATTTTTTAAATTCCATAACTGCTACCAAACTGCCTACATTGTGAATGCAAACCAATAATGAATCTTCAGTCCATAGCGCTGATGGTTGTTGGTATTTTATTTGACCAAAAGACTGACCTAGCTGTCAGATAAAATGCCACTTGCGATCACCAACATGGACTGAGGTTTGATTATTGATTTTGCTTTCCATCACCTATAGGTGGAGTTCTCATCCTAACAATCCAAAGGTATATGAGTGCAATCCATACACATTATATATCTGGGACATGCAATATACTTAAAGTGGACCTGTTATGAAAAAACATCTTACCTTAAATCTCTCCCACACACATTAAATACATCATGTATCATGAAGATCCATGGTGTATTCAATGAAAAATGTAAAAGTTTACTCTTTTCTTATGCTCCAATGCCGGTTCTGGACCTGAAAAAACAAAAGACACAGGCTACACTCTGTGATAATGATGGTGTAGATTTATTTCAGCTTGAGTCATCCCACAGAACAAGCCACGTTTCTGGTCTCCAGAGCCTTAATCCTGCATAAGCAG